ACATTTTGGGACTTGTAAGCATTCACAATCCACACGCATCGTCTATAGGGACCCTGTGAGTAGCGAAGGGTCGCATAGACTACGCGCGTTTCTTGTGAATGCCTACAAAACTGTATAGGCGTTTTTAACCTGTCTTACCTAAATATCTATGCGTCATAGATGTCGAGGTACCACTTCAGCGCCCACAGAGTCTCCATTTGCTAAAAAGCAAAAGTATTCGTTTTTGGCGCCATTAAAGCTGAGTTCGACATCTGGTGAGAGCAAGCGGTGTTTTTTTGCGGTGTTTTCATTCAGCTTCAATTCAAAATTTAAATTCAAATACTTAGTTTTTTTTTACTGTTTGAAGAAAACTTTATGGCTGCGAAAAAAAATTATAAAAACAGTTCAAAATTTTTTAATCAAAAATGTTTTGACTGCATCTCAGCCCAAATAGCTGTCAGTTGAAAAAGTTTTGAGAAGAATCAGCTGCTATTGCCAGTATATTAAATGGTATCTGAAAAATGTTTAAGAACAGTTCGAATGATAAATATTTTTAGGTTTGATAGCCCTCGGCTAATTGCAAAAATATTTTTCGTGCTATTGGGTATTCAAACTTCGATAAAAAATTTTAATTAAACTGGGGGAGTAAAAATGAGTGGCCCTCATACGATGTCATGATCTAACTTTGAAAAAAACAACATTCCAACTTACTGAGAGGTTTCGATCTGTTACTGAAAAATGAATCTGACAATTGAAAAAATCAAGAAAAAACATTAAGTTTTGTAAAACAATAGATCCAGAAAAGTGAGTACCAGACAAGTCTATGGAAATAGTCCTCATATTTTTCAATTGCTAAAATATTTGCCATAAAATGAAATGATTCACCTAGAAACTTGAGAATACGCAAAAAAAATCAAAGTATAAAATTAAAACTAAAATTTACTCAAAGCATTTAAAAGTACAAGTTAAGAAAATGATGTGGGGTTTTTATTTAAAGTATGCTTTTTACTTTTTCAAAACTTGAATACTGTTCAGAAGTCCGCTTGAGTTGACTTATTCAAATTGAAAGATTAATAAATTTATAATGATAATTTGTATTGTTTAACCTCCGGGTTATGCTACCAAATATTCAATTTAGTAATTCGTGTGCAAACGTATTACACTAAAATTTTTCGCAGATAAAAAATTCACTGGTTAGCTGGCAAAAATGTCATTGATGAGCTGCATTTGAGATTCGCCATGTATTTCAAAGTTGAAATTTATAAAATTGAACTTTTAATAAATTTTATTATATTGATTTCGAAGATTTATAATTCTTATGGAAAAACGCTTGTCATTCTATTTTCATGGGTTGAAACTGTATGATAAGCAATCATTTATCCAGACAAAGAAATTTTTATTACCCAGAAAGCATCAGGGCTGTCAATTATACAAAAATTATATATTGCAGTCTTCAAATCGATTTTTTAAATACGTTTGAAAATGGTACAATACGCGTTTTTCCGTAGACCCAATTTAGAGAAATGTAATAAAAAGAACAGTGATGATTGAAGTTCGAGCCGAGAGAAAAATTAGAGAGCAAAATATTGCCTTAGTTTAAAGCTACGAACGTAAGCTCTGATGGGTCTCAAACTACGCACTATTAGATATTCTACTGAGAGGCCGATTTAAGCCACTTCTCCAGCGCTCTCTTTAGATAATTTTGTCTTCCTTTACTCAAAAAACTAAATGACTCTTTTGCACAAATAAAATTGATTCAATTTTTAAAACTGTATCAAATTCACGTGACCGGAAAAAAGGTGGCGCTTACTATTGCACTTGATTTAATTTAAAAAAAAAACGATAAAAACCCAGATCAACGAACGAGCTCTCCCCTTTTTTGGAACTGAAGAATATCCCCTCTCTACTTAAAAATTGAAGATAACTCTTATAACAGAGGTGAACAAAGCTTCGCAACATTTGCGATTCATCACTAAAAAATCATGACAAGCTATCAGACAAAAATAAAAAAGCCCAGCACTCAATTTGCCTCTATCGAAAATTCAATACGTGTCAAGACAAATGAATTTCAGTATAAATTGTACATATATATCGTGAACAACAGCCGCCAGCATTAAATTAGCAGTCAAGCAATCAAGCCGCAGACAAGCAGAACTACTTAAATAGACGAATGTTGAGCAGAAAACAAACTTGTTAGCACAAAAACCTTGAAACGACCCACCCTGAGGCTTAAGCTTGAGAAGGTATCATCACCTCTAAATGACGCAATATGAGATGGCTATGCCGACAACACATCGGCTGAAACTCTTCCAGTGAAAATATGAAAAATAAATTATGCACACAATTGGATCTATTTTATTACAAACCTCGGTGAGAAAGCAACAAGCAACTATTTTGAATTAAAAAAAAGTGAACTTGGGCAAACTGAGCCGACGAAAACTTAGAGACAAATCATAGATCGGCAACAGAATTTTTTCGAGAAAAATTTCAGTATCAAGATATAAATTTTCACGTGCAGCGTAGTTTAATAGCAGCAATCCAGTTGTCCGGAGTCTAATGATTCGACTGATTTTCAACATGTTTTTAACCGAGGAAAATCTGAATTACGATTTGATAACACTCGGTTCTTGCGAGCGTAGTCAGTCATCTTATCACAGAATTTGTCACGTAGGTATTTTTTTGGGGATTACTAGGTTCCTTGTTATACTTTGATTCGTCCAAGACTAAGAACGTTTTAAAATTTTACATTAAGTTTCAAACAAAAAGGCATTTAAACAATTAAAAAATTTATCACTTAGAATCTTGAATTCAGTTTTTGGTAGTCGACCAAAGTGATAAATTTTTTTTAAAATTCTGATCGTTCAGATGAAGAACACCTGGAAAGATCAGCACTTACTGCTTCGCAACTCAAACGGCGAATTGAACGAATTGACCAATCAAGAGAAGGATTGAAAATTGTCCCTAAGGGTCAGAACAAATGAGACTTAAGTCCCCTATTCAAGCAACAGGTGGAATCAGCGAAGGATCGGGTCAGAGCACGAGCGCTAAAAGAACTACTAGAGGCGAATGCCAGATGGAACCAGACTAGAAGGGACACATCTGCCAATGAATTCAGGCGCATTGTTGACGAAACAAACACCATAAACCCGGAGCCACGCAAAGGGTTGTTATATTCTTGGAAGCGCGGGTTCATTGAAGACAAGCCAGAGGACATTGTAAGTCAGAACCAGTGGTCCCCCATACTGCTACGAAAGGACGAAGGGCGCAGAAGTGGCAAGGCACTAACAAACCCCTTAAAGGGAAAAGTGACCTCAGAAACACCGTCCACAGTCAAGACAGCTGCGGGGGCAGTCTACCGGAAAAGCGATATTGCCAAGGCTAAGGTCAATGTGCAAGACGCAGCGGCTCAACGTCGATCTCCGACAGGGGAAGAACCCAAAAAGAAACAATTCTGGATACGTTTTATAGTAGAGACTTAACACCAGCGGATTGGAAAAAAATGGCAGATCAAGTGCTAGAAAGGGGAGTCAGTTCCATTATAATACAACAACGGATTACACTTCCGCCGAACTTCAAGATCAAATTACAATTAGTCTTTAATTTTTTAAAGTCTTCTCTTCTACGTAGCCTCTCTGCAGATCAACAGCTATGAGAGAATACTTAATCTGTATCTTTCATCTTCTATTTACAGTAGATCAAATTGTGTCCATTGTTATATAAAAAAACTGCAGCACCTTACAATTCTTCTCAATTCTCTCCTTTAGTCATTTCGCCGAAAAATTATTTCTTTATAATCCGTTATTTTTTTCTGAGGAGTCATATGAGGTCGGTTGTATCCAGAAAGATATGTTTTGTCCGAATTCTGACTTTTTCAACTCCTTTGTCTAATTTTTCTTCCACATCATGATGCTGCCCTCCTGTCCTCCCAGGGACAGCAGAGTCCGGCTGTCTGGCATGAATCATGATCTTAACAAGGCCGCGTTAGAAGCATATCGTATCAAATTGGCAACATTTAAACCCGACACGAAAAATTCAGTGGAATCGAAATTTGGCCTTCTGGAAAAGCATTTATTAAAAAGAAAATTAGGGAGCGAAGCATTGGACATCAATCGGTCCTGGAAGGCGGAGTGGCGGGTTCCACTCCAATTTGGCGAAGAACATGACGAGAAAGACGGAAAATGAAAAATTTCAATCAATAGAAACTTTTGATCCCAAACTTATCAAACGGAGTACTAAAACTCATTTTTATTATTAAATTTTATAACATAGTATAAAATTTATTTGTCGACCGGGGAATGTGGTACAGCAACTGCAACTGCATTTGCAGTAACAGTACTGTAGCCTTGGTATCATGTTCATATTGTTATCTATAACTATGATATTGTTTTTAATTTTGTCAAGGTCAACCGTGTGACCTTTGTTCAAAATAAGAGACTCCGTTCTTTCTACTGTAGCAACAGCACATAGTTAGCCACAGAACTCAGGCTATAGAGAAAAGATGGTTTCGATATTTAATTAAACTCTTTGAAGCCAACATCGTTTTCCTTATTAAATCTACGAGGTTCTATCCAGTAGCACAATGGCAAACGTATGAAAAATATACCAAAAACAAAGCCGGTGAGAAATGAGGTACCAACCTTTAAGTCTAATACACTATGCAGGTACTAACATAAGGCTTCAGCTAAGATCCAAATTGTTCACCTAAGTCAAACTGTGTGATCAGTGTGATGCACCAATATATTTTTTACATATGAACAAGAAATGACATGTTCCATATGATATAAATTAAATAAATAAGATATAAACATAAAAAAACCACACCAAGCATAAATACTCCGCTTTCTTTGTAAGTCGGAACAAAAAGCGTAGAATCAGGTTGCAAATAGCAAAGTTGCTTACGGGAAAAAGTCTAGTTCCTGATTAAAAGTCACTTATTCCCACAAGAAAAAATACCAACCTCTCTGTATATCACCATAACTCAACTATTACAAACACGCCGATTTAGCTTAGAACGAAAACAGTCAAATCAATTTGTGAATTAACAACTGATAAAAATTCAATTAAAATTTTACAACTTATCGCAATTTAAGGCCTGAAATTATCATGCACCATTGAAGCCGGAACTTAGTTGCATTTTAAACCGGCTGTTGAGCCCGTCAATTCAATCGTGTCGTATGGTATAATACAGTTTAATCTGATTGGACGCGTTTTGACCGGCGCAACTAGCAATTTCTTAACGTTAAAAATATGATGATAGTAAATGGTGTATTTCTGATACTCAAAACTAAATTTTTTAGTAAAAATATCACAACAATGCGAACCCACAGCTGTAAGTAACCACTTCACACTGAGCAAGATTTGACAGGGATGACATAAAGTTTAGGAAGAACATGAAGCACGTCACAGATATAACATAACCATTTCATTTTCAGACAATTTATGTAGTTTACTAGGTCCATACATGATGGAAATAAGCTGTGCAAACTCATAAAAGGAGTCAAAACTATGAGAACTTATACACCACAACTGTTAAATTCCTTTAATAGGGCCATAGCTTAAAAATAACACACCAAGCACACATTGTTCATTAAAGCTTCACTCAGTTTTAAGTTTAGTAGAAATTCAAAACATTAATTCCAATTCTAGTAAAAACGAGAGTTAATAAATAGAAGGCTCACTCGCACACAAGCCTTAGATTAATTTATTCTGTAAATTAAATGCTGCAATAGTAAATAGGTCATGCTAGGCTGAAAAATAATACTTCTAATAGAATTTTCAGGGCCACTAATTTCAAGGGCTCATGCGTTTAATTTTAAATTAAAGCTCAGTTTATCTAGATTTTGTCAACTAGGGGCAACTACTTCGCTTTTGTGTCGCATATAAACAGTGAAAACAAATCAAAAAGCATTCATTTTTAGTGTACGGACAAGATGCTATGGTACCAGTTGCTTTCCTTTCATAGTCTAGGTTTAGTTTTTTCTATTTGTTAAATTCATTGGAACATCAGAGTGAAATATAGTTGGAAACATTTCACGGAAAAGCAAGCGATCAGTTCCATTATTTTGCTTAATAATACAACAACGGATTACACTTCCGTCGAACTTCAAGATCAAATTACAACTAGTCTTTAATTTTTTAAAGTCTTCTCTTCTACGTAGCCTCTCTGCAGATCAACAGCTATGAGAGAATACTTAATCTGTATCTTCCATCTTCTATTTACAGTAGATCAAATTGTGTCCATTGTTGTTTAAAAACTGCAGCACCTTAAAATTCTTCTAACTTCTCTCCATTTCTCATTTCGCCGAAAAATTATTTCTTTTTAATCCGTTATTTTTTTTCTGAGGAGTCATATGAGGTCGGTTGTATCCAGAAAGTTATGTTCCGTCCGAATTCTGACTTTTTTCAACTCCTTTATCCTCTCCTTTGTCTAATCTATCTTCCACATCATGATGCTGCAGTCCTGTCCTCCCAGGGACAGCAGAGTCCGGCTGTCTGGCATGAATCTGACCCGGGTCACGTGGCTGCTGTGTGCATTGCCCACTTTGCACTGCGACTTGGGAGTGTAGCACGGGTAGTTGTATAGTTTCACTTTACCAAAGTCGTCTGCAGATGCGACGAAGTTCAAGTCAGGCGATCTATCGCAGCCGTTGATGTCACTTCCGTCCGCTCCCTCGGGCCAGATGCCTGTAGATAACCGAAAGAAAAAAATAAAAACCAAAATATATTTAAGTGAAATCTATAGGCATCACATATAGGGGAGATCACTAAAACAGTTCGTTCGCTTATTTCTCAATTTCAGAATTGGAGGGGTCGTTTTTTGAAAATTGAACAAGTCCAAAAATAGGTCAAAATGACGAATAATGGACGTTTCACAACTCTGTAGCGGATTCCTCAAAAAATATCGTAGAGTCCAACGATGCAGGGGATAGCCCAAAACTTATCTTTCGATTGAACCCTCAACCTAAAATTTGCCACGGTAGTTGCCGAAAAAATCTCCAAAAATGGTCAAATTTCAAAAATAAATTTTCTAAGTCTAAAACGCTTTTTCTACAGTAACTAGGGCGCAGCTAGGGCGGATCCATTCAAACCAGCGACCTCAAAATTTGGAGTCTCACGCCCTGAGCTCTCGGCCACGAACGCTTAGCAATCGCCAAACACCAGTCACAAATAAAGCAGCTACATATGCTATTAAATTGACAATGCCATACAGCAAAAGTGGCACCATATACGAATAGACACAATTTTGCATGCAATAATTTGGAAAGCATTAAGCCAAATTATGTATGAAATAAGCATTTCAAAAAACTGCAAGATATATTGAGTTAAAAAATTTCTCAAATCCAGTTTTTATCATTGTCATGTTGTTTGAAACAAATAACTTTTTTCGGTTCAACTGATGATTTAAAAATGCATCAACTGTGTTAACCTATCAATAATCGAAAATCAAAGCGCATGCTATCAAAAATCCTTAAAGGTGCCACCAAAAATGACATCAATAGCAGCGACCTAGGTTGGAAGAACTAGAATAGTCGTACCATTACTCTACGCTCACAAAAGCTCGAAAGTGTAAAAAACGGTTGAGACTTCAAAAATTGTTTATTTTCTTTTCGAAAACTCAGTTGTACTGCATCTGCAGAAAAAATTCACACAATATATTCTCTCGATTAAACCTTAATCTCAGATTCGGTAGAGTTGGTTCCAAAAAACTCAAAAAATTTCAAGAAATGAACATTTTCTCAAGCCGTTATTTTTTCTACAAAAAAAATCGTAGTCGATAATGCAGCGGATATCCCCATAACCTGTTCTTTCGATTGAACGCGCAATCTCAGATTTGGAAGAGTAGTTTTCGAGAACATGAAAAAATCTAAGAAAGAAAAATTTGTAAAAAAAAATCCCCCCATCGAAATTTTTCCAAGGTTCCATTGGTTCTTTTCTTGAACACGTCTCAATAAAAATTCAAATCTCATATATATCATAATATCTGTTTTTATCAAATAGGTATTTGGATAAGAAACTACGAGCTATGATAACTCTATATATATTGAAAACAAAACTAAGCTCGTAGATCAAAAAATTTCAACACAGAGGCGAAGCTGCACTTCGCAAACACTAGCCAGAAAACGACGAAAAAAATAGCCGTAAAAATTAAATAAGAAAAAAGTTTAAATATGCCTTGAAAATGAAAACTTTTGCTGTGGCTTACTTGAACCTACGACGATGAGACTTGTATTCCCACGTCCTCGGATACGCGCCACGTGCCCTTGAAAATTTTCTAACACAAGCCACCAACTAAGCAGCTACATATGGCAAAAAATTGCCGTAAAAATAGCCGTAAAAGTCCCCCGAAAGTTTCACCAATATTTGTGACTAAGGTTTAAAAAAGAAGTCGTGTATAACGCTACGTTTGCTTGTGTAAATAACACCTACCTATCATGTTGTATCCGAGAGTGCAAGTACCAGTCGCCCACTCGACATCCTTCATAGTCTGCACATCCGTGTTCTGCTTGCACGTAGCTGCACTCCAGAACAACACCTCATAGTCACCGGAATTGCTCCTCAGGAATTGACTGTCAGCAGACCAGTCCACGTGTGTAACGAAGCTAGTATGTCCAATGCATTTGCCCATTTTAGAGTACTTGCGTGCATTCTCTCCCACTCTGTACACGTAGATTCCGTTGTCATGGCTGCCAATGGCCATCATGGATCCATCTAAAACAAATAAAACTGCTGGGTAAAGTAATTGTTTACATGCTTAATTTTCATTTTGGTGACGCGTGTCAATCATGAACATGCATTTTGAAACATCGTAAGTTTTTTCATTGCGTTTCTGAAAATAAAGTCCAATTGTTCCGACTTTCGAAGAAAACGGAATATGTATGCTTGGGGTGTTTTTTATTCAGTCAGTTTTCGGAGATCGAACTAGTTTTTAACAAAAAACTTTTTTGCCCAATTGAAGATATCGACTCCCTAAAATCAACTTTAAGAAATATATCTTATCTCTGATCATTTTTGTTAAGTTTTAGTTTGATAATTGCCAGTTTGACCATGCTCTGGACTAATTTATGCTACTTCGAAGATTTTATCCATAATCATGGAAGCGTAACGTAAGTTATTTATGCGTGGCGAATTATCCCGCATAGCAAAACCGTTCCAAACTGAATTGAGGCCCGCTCATCGGTCGTATTAATTTCGTACGACTCAAATTTTCACGCGTGATCCTTGATTTAGTCCAAAACTTATATTCGTAAATATTCAGATTTGAGTGCGAACAATTATTAAGACTTTTCCTGAAAAAAAGCATCAAAAACACGGCCTAAATAAGTCATAAATCACTTCGCTCATTAACGCTTGGAATGTTTTTTTGCTAACCTGGTGAGTAAGCCACGCAATCATACTGCTCCTTTGAGTCCGGGTGAAGAGTGAGGATCTCCTGGGAGTCCAAGTCCATTGCAAACCACTTGCCCTCCACAGTCCCGAACAGAGCCACATTCTCTGTAGGGTGGAAGGAGGCACACATCAGCTGGTACTCCACCAGTTTGGTCCAGATAGGCTGCCTCGTATTTGTGTCCCAGAGCACTATCAATTTATCCATACCACAAGTCAGGAATTTCGGCTCCGTCGGGTGAACAGCAGCACCCCATAGCTCATCAAAATGACTGCTGATGAGTGACTTGAACGCCTGTGGCTCCTCAGAAGCGAATGGTCCTTCCAATATACAGTTCCTAGTAGTGCCTACGAACACTTTCCCTCCATCTCCTGAGGTTGCCAGTTGGCGGATGCCTCCGATATTCTCTGGAAGATGAGTCAGATCTCTCACTTTGGAGAGGGATCCTACGTCGAATAGGGAGACTGTGAGGTCTTTGGAGCCTCCAGTGATTACGCAGTTGTTAGCTACCGAGCACATGGCAAATATTGGTCCATCATGAGCGTTTTCGACCGCTTCTTTCACTTTGTTGTCATCTGAAAAGCAACCCAACAACTAGCATTATGGCTCATTAATCATTTTATCTATCACTTAAATGATTTATGAATTAAATCAGCTCACTTATGCTAAGGGTAACATATTTTACAGATTGCATGTTTTTGCGATGTTTCTGACTGACCAAATAACAATTTTTACTTAAATCTCAAAGGTGTGTCAAATTCTCTTGGTCTATTTAACACATCAGCTGCAATTCATACTGATTAAACTTTAACGATCAACAACTTTCATAACATGACTTCGACTTTTTGAAGCCGTTGCATTTAGAACTGGCAAAGACCAACTACTAACCGCAACTCCACACGTATATGTTTCCATTCGAGTCTCCCGTCAGGACCTGTTCGTTCTCTGCAAACGCACAACACGTCACAAACTTGGGCTTCTCATTCTTCTCGAAAACTCCCGTCTTCTTGTTCAGCTTCTCCTCCGAGAAACTCCAGAAGAAGACTGCACTCTTGCCGCACATGATGAGACTGTTCATTCTGGCGGGGTGCCACTCCATCACACTCACTGGGTCCTGGGATCCCTTGTGCTCTGTGATCTTCTTCTCACTCTTCCACTCCCACACTGTAACCACGTGCTCATTCGACTCATCTACTGCACACAGAAGATCACCGCCGTCCTGAAACAGAACAAAGCATCAAGATGGTCTTTGAAAAAATATTGCAAAGTTCACACAATCCCTACATTTTTAGTTTCCCAACCACCATAATTTGTGGTTTGATTCGAGTCAAACAAATTTTAAAATAAACTGAAATACCGCTCAGTAATAAACACCGTACGATTGAACAGTTTATCAATTCAAACCCACTGCACTCGACAACTATGGCAAGAGTCCTTTTGTTTGAACTAGCCTCGTTTTTTTTCGAAACGGTTTCCTTGCCGACCGTGCTTCTCACTTCTGGTTGTAAAATTTTGCATCAATATTTGGCCGATTAAGCCAAAATTATTTTAAGTCACACATGTTTGTTACAGGTAAACATTTGAGCGAGTTAGTTTAGAAAAATAAAACCCGTAGCATACCTGAAGCGCTTGCATGCACAAACAATTTAAGCTTCCAAAAAGTGCCCAAAAGCGCTTATTTACTACCTAGAAATTTGACTGCTGCGCAGAATATTTTGGCAAATGTGGTAATCTTCTGCTTCGTCTAATGACTGGCTTAAAAATTCCGAAAACCGCCCGTCTTCTTTCTAAACAATACTGCACATGCCACATCGCATGCACTGAATCCTGAATGCAGCGACTAGACTATTTCACTCCTTTTACAAAATGGTGACATTGTCTACTGAAACCCAGAGAACAATGATCATCATCTTAAGTTGAGGATACTTACGGCCTTTGAGAATGAGAGACAGCACACTCCACGGCCGAACACACCCTCTCCCAGCACATGCATGGTCTGGAGTGTTGAAGAATTCCACACACGAACATGGGGCTGAAGAAAGAGTCACATCATCAGTGTATAATCATATTAGAGAACATGGCTGGGCTGGAATAAGAAACGATAGCTAATTCTGGCAACTTACTTTTCCGTCTACTTCTGCGTGGCCAGCAACTTGTCCAGAAGCCACGGTCACCTTGTCCGGATGCAGGGCAATGCTGAAAAGCAATCAACATATATTGTTCAACCAGAATACAAATGAAAAGATCGAGACATTTTAAAGATAAACTCATGTAAAACAGAGCTTTTAGATACTTCATTTTACATGATCTTGGCATGTTATGAGACAACTAACATCTATAAAATGAATTTAGCAGCATATTTCAGGTAAACGATCGAACTGCTTTAACTGCTGTTCTAGTTTGGATTTTTTATCTCTCAAATATGCTCGGATAATCGCATGAAATCCCATCATTTGTTATTCGAATAAAAGCTAAATAGTTCCATTATTAAACTTGAATGCGAACACAATGGATGGAAATAAGAAATTTTCACATCTCTTCAATGGTATTGGGAGGTTGCTTTTGCATCTTCTAAGATATAAGCTACCTCTTAATGTCGTCTGTGTGTTCCTGGTAGAACCTCTGTACTCCAGTTTCTGTGTTGTACATTATTGCAGTGGCAGCTGCAAAGTAACACAATTCTCCCGAGCCCAACACTAGAATGTTGTTCCTGCAATCTTTTCCTCTGTATCCGAACACCCATTGAAGAGTCAAGTTCTCGCCCGGTTCTTTGCCAACATCATTCACTCTTCCATACTTCTGTTCCGAAGGCGCATACATAGTCACTGCTCTCCCTTTTAGATACATCTTCGCCAATCCTTCGCCTACACAAGAGGATTAGCTCAAATACACATGACACTGAAGGTTTTTGAACACTCCCACAAGCAACTTCCGATGCACAAACAAACACCAACAGACTAAGAAAAACGGAACCAAACAATACGAACCCTGTCCAAGTGAACTGTGAATAAGGTAAAGTTTGATCATTTCACCGGTAGAATTAAGAACCCCTTTGGGAAATCTCACCAATGACCTCAAGTTTATCAATTTTGTCTTAATACCTTGGAGGTCTCCGCTCAATTCAATTCATGAGATCATGTTTTCTCGATGTCACAGTCATAAAGTAATAAGTCATATATCGCACTTCGCTTACTCAATAAAACAAGAAAGGAGAAAGAATAAAGATACCCATTAGCCTTTTCCTTTAACAAGGAGAGAGAGAGAAAAAAAGAAAAGTATTAGAAATTAAGGAATACATAGTCTAAATAGGAATAAGTAGAGATGCAATTTACTAACCAATGTCCACTTTATAGCGCAGAGATACTACATAGAAAAACAGCACTCACTGATTCATCAGTAGACCAAAGGAGACAAATAATTAATATCGAGTCATCAATATATTTCACTTCAGACAATTCCTGTCACGAATTTCATTTCCGCTGTCTACTTTGACAGCTACACCCTATGTACGACATACAAAAACCTGTTTTGAACAAGAGATGAATACTTAACTTCCAACATGAAGTTACTATATCTTTGTCCTGAAAATTTCACTCATTTTGTTAACCCTCGACTGAAACTAAAAATCACGTTTGATATACGTTTGGCTTTTCTGGTAATACGTTTGGCATTTTCCAAAAAGGCAATCCAATAAAGAGACCCATATCCATGGTGTTCGGTACTCACTTTAGAGACCTTCTGATAATTCTATTCCAATTTGTACTCAAAAATGACCATTACAAAAAAACTTTCAATGCGCAAGAAAACTTCACAAGCAAAAGCGATTTCATGATGCAAAACCGTTCACGATGCAAAAGCGATGAAATTTTGAAGCTTAATGAAAAATTCTTCAGCTCATTTTAAAGAACTAGAAACTATAACAAATTGGTAAATATAAGCTGAAACGGGAAACTATACTTTTCGACAGACGCGCTTTACCGACTGAGACATAAAAATGTCATTGATATTCGACGTCCAAATACACGAAAACAAATGATGATCTGTACATGAAGTAAGCCAAAGGTATTACAGTTAGAATTCAAAGGTGGTTTTGATTGCACTGTGCTATGCTGTGCTAGCTAGTGTAACCAACATCAACAATCTAATCTCTACTGAATGGACTCACTTCGTTCGATGGACACTTCTTTGGCGCCTATTTTCTTCGAAGTGCCTCTAGCACTGGAGGGCGCATGACTAGAGGAGGTTGTATTCAGGTTCTCCGCTGAGCTTAAGTTTGCTCGTTTGCTTGATCCCAGAGTGCTTCTGGGTGTAGCGGTCCCCGTGTTGTGTCGAGCACCTGCAGCTGGAGTGTGGGCGGGTGCTGGCTTATTCGGGAGCGCCGTTGTTCGAGCAGACCCTGCAAACACCATCAATAGACATCACTATTGCTGAGAAAAATATTTAACTGTTAGGTTGCAGTATCTATGATGATGGAATGTTCATTTTTAAGCAATAACTAACCCCTCTAGGGGCTTAGGAAATTAGACAAACAGCAAATTAGACCCCCTCCAGATAGACCAAGTCAAGATCTTCCACCCCAGCATTTAATTCGTATTAAGTTTGCTAAGCGCTGCATGAAAATGCTCAATTCTGATTAGCTAAATATTCCCAACTGGAACCAAGCTAACATCCTCTCCTCCCCCCAAACGGCTTTAGCGTCGGTTAATTCATTATTATAACTGTTTCAGATACTGCAGCCATATTAGAATTTCTACATAGTTTTAGACACGCTTGAATCAAGGTCTAATCTAAAATCACAGGAAAGCTGAGATGCGACGCGGGATAAAAATCACTCTAAGGCTAGAAACCAAGAGGAATTTTGTGGACCACACGAATGAGGAAGAAAGGAAAGGAGCACAGAATATAAACCAATACCCGACTATAAATGTTCTAAAACGAAAATAAGCCTTAACAAATGCCCAAACAGTGTTGTCCCTTCGGCCCAAGTGTAATAATCATTGACAGATAGCACTTATGGCTGGTTACCGGACATTCGCCGGCGGTTTTGGTAGCTTGGAGTAGTGGTATGATGCTGGGACGACGGGGATTGTCGCGACAGTCCGACATTGTTGAGCGACTGTGTAGACTCCGAGAAACGATGTATGTTTGAAATGTATTTGCAACAGTCGCTCCAATTACTCCCGTTAACTGTTCACAAAGGTCCAATACTTTCATTCAATTGATGTGACTTTCAACAAATTAAGTGCAATTTATGTTCAGATGGTTATTTACTTTCATCTTGATTAGCGAGTGCTTTTGACCTTTGATAGAAAAATTTCACAAAAAAGCTGCACCTTGAAAGCATGAAATGTTTGCAAACATGAAAAACACTTTGAAAATAAACAACACTGTAAAAAATTAACAAGACGACTCTTATCAGCGCACAACCTTGAACATTCCGACTTCGGTTTGACGAGTCTCAACTAACCCATAGTATATGCCAATATAGAAGTCAAATTCTGAACGTTTTTCATTTTTCCCTCCATACGCTGTCAGCATAAGGTGATTTCAAGTCTATTAACGCAATACTTAGACCAATATTCTTGCCTCAATTCAATTTGGAATAATATTTGAGCCTGGTTATTCCGTCTACCAGACTAAGCGTTAAAACAACTACGCGCATTAACTTTCTAAACTAGCCAAAAATGCCATTTTTAAACAATGATAGCCGGCTGCTGCTAGTAGCACAGGAAGTTCCAGCCATAATAAAAAAGAAAGCCTATAACTTCGATAGTAATGGTAAATTAGGTACATTTGACAAAATAAAAATAAAAAGGGAAAGCCGGTTGCTGTGCAAGTAGCACAGAATGTTCAGGCCATATTCTTAAAAAATACGTTCTCAAATTTCATCTCATGTTTTCTTTTTCAAAATAATGTTTTTTTATGCACGGTGTGATGAAAGGAACTGACTAAAACTGAAATTTAGGCATATTCGACAGTCACAGTAAAACAAGCAAATCAGACAACGGTTTCTGTCTAAAAATGACTGAAAAAAAATTGAAGGAATAGTTTTGAATTTTTTTATTCCGAAAATGGCGCTTTAAACACTTAAAACAAATTTAACTGGAGTTCAACTGAAATTTCGCAGCTTAGCTTTCTACAATAAGCATGCAAGTGAAATTTCAAACCAGTTTTTCTCGACACTGGGAAAACTTGTTGAAAAATTTTAAATGTCGTTCAAATTAGGATTGAAAGGTCTATAATATAAAAAAAATCGCTCCCTCCATTACGAAGATTTTTTGCGGTAATGCTTTTGGTTGCAAAACAAAACAAACATGCCCGCTCACCTTTTTCGCTCAAAAACTAGCTGGTAGCAATGACTGTTTGTGTCAACCGACTTTGAGAGGAAATAAGAAAAATTAAAACACACCCGAAAAACAAAAATAATAACTTTATGGAAAAAGAATAGCACCAATACCAATCAGACTGTATAAAAAATCCACTTCGCGCCACTCGCGATTATCACACAATTACAGCCTTGTAGTGTACCAAAAATGAGGTTGAGCCATTAACATAGCCAACAGACAGTTGGAAAAGAGCCAATGAGCGCAAGTAAACATTAAAAAAGTTGGAACTTTCGCTCTTGTAACTATTTCGCTGTGAAATCTGATAATTTCTGAAAAGCTACATCAATAAATTTGTCTCGAATGATGATCAACTTGATGAAAAAATGTCGAAACACATTCGCAAGCGTTGAATAAACATTCAGAAAAGTTAATCAAGCGACAACTAAGGGTAAACGTCAGTTAAACCGAAAAAATTGTTGTAACGAAAAAATTTGAGCTATTAAATTTTGAAAATTGCCTTCGAGAAACACGAAGATTTTAAAAATTTATTTTGCCTTCAAAGAGCGCAAAATTAGGTGAAGAAAAACATATAATAAAGGCCGAATATGCCGTATGAACCTTTCAACCTTTTAAGATGACCGAGAAAAAAGAAAGCAAATTTTACAAAATCAGGGTAGGTAAATTTAAATATAACAGGAATGAATAACTTTCAAGTATGGTGAAAATAATTCAAGTCCAAAAAAGTCCACATTGTGGCAACCAAGCCGACAAAAATATTCAGTCAAAAATGTGACTTACAGCGGGAACTAAGCCTTCGATTTAATTTTCCATGCTGCAAGCAAGCAGACGCAAATTGAGCCGAAAACAACTTGCAATAAAAAACTACTGTTGTCGTAATAAAAAACTAAGATTTAAGACTCAAATTTTTTCACTATAAATTTTGACCTTTAAACGACGGAATATAAGATGACTCAGCCGTAAAAAAAACCAAAATTATTTGACCGAAAAAAAATTTAAAACGAAACTTATTCAAATTTAGAGTTGTTCAATTAACAATTTACGAATTTTAATTATAGCCAAAAAAAAAACATTTTATAAATCCCATGCTTTGAAAATTAGGTCGACAAAACAAATGGATAAATAAAAAAAGAGAACTCCAAATTTCCCATCAAACGGGTTTCGAACTCAGACCTTATGTTCCAAAAGCATGCGCTTTACCACTAGACAAAGTTCCCGATTACAAGTCAAATACTTTGAAGTGGAATAATTTGATTCGTGTTAGGAATTATTGGGAAAATTTTGCTTGCTTCAATTCAAACTGGAATAGTATTGAGTGCGATTCATTCGCAGTGCTTAGAAACTATTTTTTTTCATTGGAAGTCAGGGAAGGGAGTCAATATTTTTTGATGTATAAATTTATCCGTTGAAAATCACAGTTTCAATCCATTGAACTCACTGTTTCAAAGACCGGAATTTGTCTAACTCAGAACAACCCTCTCTAGTCAGATCAGAAAGGAACACAAATATGCTGTCACTTTTTCGAAAATTGGAACAACCAAACAACCATTAATGAAAAATACAATTTGAGTCTAGTCTAGATCGAAATTATTATTACTAATTAGATTGCCTCAATCCATTTTGGATTTATTTTTTGAACGCGTTGGAACTTTGATTAATTCACTGCGCTCTCGCTAAATTAAGTCTGGTGATTCCTAACTTTCAATCACTAAAAAATTAGGAAAATGCTAGCAATTAAAGGCACCTTTCGAGCTCAGGGTCTAGATGGTTTCAAAGCTGCATCACACATGCCCCTCAAAAAAATTTAATTCCGAAAAATGTGAACTAATATGTGGGACTTTTATCGGAAAAGAGCGGTCTGTATTTGCGTGTGTAATCAACTGCAGCCATATCCTAGCTCGGCTTGGTCGACTAAGTAAGTTTTGTTCAGGGGATAATTAAAACTCAACTTTCAACGGAAACAAAAACCAGCCGTGATTTTTCACCGTCCCTTTTTGAGAATTCTGAGCGACTTATTGCCTACCGCAAAATACGTCAAAATTTTGTATCGCAATAGCAAAGATGAGAACATGCAAACTACCTGGTTTATGACTGGCTGTGGAACTTTTCGGAGCTGTGGAAACTGGTCGAGACTCTACCTCTTGAAGTCTACGGATCATCTGAAACACCACGACTAGCATAACAACCGTTTAAATGTTTACACTCCAAAACAGCGCACCAGAGCTTTTCGTAGCCATCAGCGACTCCTCGATATTGTACATATAACTGTTGAAAGATAAGCTTAGTGGTGCATATCACCTTACAGACTCTCCGCTTGGATTAAGATCATCTGGTGCCTGTTGTAAACAAAGTGAAATAGATTAAATTAAATAGATTACCTCTGCATATGCCGTTTTGAGACATAGGAGCTCGTCGGCCTGTTGGCTCACAAGCAACTCCAGTGCTGCGATTCTCTCAGCCTCACTCTTTCCTGCACCACTGGAAGTGGAATCCGAAATGCCCGATGGGCTCAGTCCATTCCCATTCCCATTCAATTGATGGGTTCCGTTGCCCAGATCTCCCATTCCGTTGTTGTTCAGATGGTTATTCGTGTCTAAATTTCAACAACACAATTACAACAAAACACCATAACATAACTTCCACCAATGTCACATCTGATCCGGTGATAACGTGTACGGTGTACCACAATCGTCAAATGAAACCATACGTGATTGCATCAAGCATTGTAAAGTGCAATTTAAGCTTAACATCTCAGTGCTGAAGCAGTTTGGGATAGTATAGTATGCGATGCGTAGTTGATACTTTCATACTCACAGTTCTCCTAGTTTGATCAATTGATGACATCTAGATACCAAAATAAATTTCAAAACAAATTGGTTGCCAAAATTATTGGTTGTTATTAATTTCAAAAAATGTGCCTCTATATATTATAGTAATATGTGACTAACAGTTATCGAATTAGGTCAATAAGACAGTGTAAAATTCAATGTGCATATTTCAACTGTCCCAATAAAACACCCAGGACGAATTCGTGTTTGGAGAAGTCTGGCCGAATGATAAGCAAACAATTAAGTGGGAACGTAATCTGCAAGGTTTATACTTCTAAGGAAACAAATATGTGTTTTGCAACACTTAGATTGCACCAATATGCACGTAGTAAAATTACAACCACATTGAAAGGATGTCCAGTGGGATTATCAGTCCACAAAAATTATACCAACATAAGTTTAACTTTGAGCATTCATAGAGAAAAAAACACATCGCTTGGTGTGCGCACTAACGGTGGTTTATAGCTGGTTAGTAAAATCTATATCCTAGTCAGATAATATTTCCAGTGTAATTTATTTACACTTCAGCATCTTTACTATTTATTTAATGCTGCCGAGGTCTTTTGACCCCGTCAAAGAATGAAACATTTAAAAAAAAGGTCTATGTTGAAATGAAGCTACTGCTTACTACACCACATTATCAATTCGTTCAGTACTAATTTAACTAATCCAGACAAAACAAATAAACTTTCGAAACAAAGTTAACAGAAAAACTACTGGAGACGAAAGTTCGCAATTCATTTAGCAAGTTTTGAACTAAAACTGAGTCAAACAGAGTTAGAAAATAGTCAATGAACGCAAGGAAACACGAAACAAAACAGACAACTTTCAAACTTCAAAGAAGAAAAAAATTATGGCCTTAAAACTTTTTGAATTTCTTCCATAAAAATTAACGCAATTTGAGACAGGTAAAAATTTTATTCCGCTGGGCTATCTAAAAACTCAAATCCACTTTCGAAACTAGAAGTCGATCACGTTTATTGTGCCCCTTAACTTTGGTTGTTATCGATAGTGGAGTTTGTCATCCTTTCAACAAAATGAATGAACTAAATTTAGAAAAAATCAAACCGCGATAAAAAAAAAATTGAGCGTGAACAAATTTTAGACTTTTAAGAACAAATTAAATTTTAAGATGCCAAAATAAATTTTAGAAACAAATTTATAAAAAAATCATCATGACCATATAAGTCTTCACTTCGTTCATCGATTCCCAGTTACACTACAACTACTGGGTCAATTTTGAATAATTGGTATCAAATGGACAGAAGTGGAGCTTTTTTGAAAAGTATGGCTGAAAACAATCTTGGTTTAATGTTTATGTACCATCTACGTGCAAAACGCATGTTGTAAATTTTAGAAGTGGATCACAGTGGCAAATCCACAAAATTACAATAACGAGAGTCTACGTATCAGGGCAAAAGCCTGCATGTTCTGACTGCTCTTTAGCGTTTATGAAATTTTTAAAACCTTTTATATTTTCAAAAAACGGATGAAATTGTCCAAAAAAATCCTCCACCACACACTATGTAAAATCTACTACGTTGTCTTCAGTGACTACTAATGTAATAAAACAAAGAAAACAAGCAAAACAAAGAAACTGTAAAAAATTAGATCTATCACATTTTTCAAATATTGCTCCCAATTCCTACTGAATCAAACTCAAAGGGAATTGAGCAATCGTATTTTGAGACCACATTTGAAAGCCTTGGGAGGACACTAACAGCATTCCACTATAGAGTTGCAATCTAAAATTTTTGAATAATATTGCAAAATCATAACAAAACGTCATATGTCGGAAACAGAAAAAAAATTTGAACAGTCACATTTGGCGGTAATATTTACAATCTATCGGAGTACCCTGACAGTCCCCAAATATAGTGTCTGTAATTTCAATATTGATGAAGTTTTTTTAAATCTCGGTTCTTTGAAATTTATCAAAAAAAGGGTTACAGCAAGTTGGAATAAAGCTTAACGATCGAGCTACAGAAACTAAGCCGACAAAAATAAACAGACGGACGATAATCCGAAAAAGCACAAAAACTCTAGTTTGCAAAAAAGGGCCCGGCCGGATTCGAACCGCAAATCTTCACCACATCAACCAGTTGTTTTATCTCTACGCCAGATGGTTGAGTGGATTTGAATTTATAATTACCAAGCGGTAACAAGGCCGAAAAAATATGAGCAGAAACCCTGTATGCCGAAAAGAAATTCTGAAAAATTCTCAACTTAAAAAAAAAAGGTTTTTCCCGTCAGAGCACACACACGCGCACAAAAACTTTTTATAGGACGTAACGACGCAATAAGAAGCCACTAAGTCGATATCATTAATTAGGCCGAAAGTTATTAACTCGACAAAAAAAAACGAGTGGAAATTTAACAAATCGAGCTGGTTAAATTACAACCAATGTGAAAATCAAATCGATTCACCCTGATTTTTATAATGCTAAAAATAATTGCAGTTAAAAATGTCTATAGCAGATGTGTGAACTAATTCGACAAAACATGAGCAGACAGATAATAGGCCGAACTTTTTTAACCGGAACAATTTCCGTTGAAAGAAACTGGTCCTGGTCAGATTCATAACCAGTACTTTTAGAGTCCCAGGCGCATTCGTTATCACTAGGCTAAGCGGGCATTATACACTAAAAATGTTGAATTCTTTATGAGCCAAGGTATCACCAGTTCAATGAGTCCTGTGGACCAGGTTGTTTACGGAAAAAAAGTAGTACCCATGTACCCTACACTGCGCAGCCATCCCTAACCCTCCCCAGCTTTTATCATAGCAACAGCCCAATGTTTGGCCCTAGTCTACAATTGGCCTATCAATCATAAACAATAAAATCGAAAAAACCTTCTTAAGCATTGCAATATACGAAATGGCTTAAACGTGCAAAAACTTTTCCGTTAAGCATGCAAAAAAATTAGGCTAAAAAGCATAAACATGGCGAGATATTGAAGTCTGTATTTAACTATAAATTCTCACTTCAAAACATGAGCAGACAACAAAAAGCCGAGAATTTGTTTGGATTAAACAGGTCCTCACCACAATCTTCACCACATCAACCAGTTGTTTTATCTCTACGCCAGATACGCCGGATGGTTGAGTGGATTTGAATTTATAATTACCAACGAAAAAATATGAGCAGAAACACTGTATGCCGAAAAGAAATTCAGAAAAATTCTCAACTTAAAAAAAAGGTTTTTCCCGTCAGAGCACACACAAGCGCACAAAAACTTTTTATAGGACGTAACGACGCAATAAGAAGCCACTAAGTCGATATCATTAATTAGGCCGACAGTTATTAACTCGACAAAAAAAACAAGTGAAAATTTAACAAAATAGCTTAAATGTGCAAAAACTTTTCCATTAAGCATGCAAAAAAATTACGCTAAAAAAGCATAAACATGGCGAGATATTGAAGTCTGTATTTAACTATAAATTCTCACTTCAAAACATGAGCAGACAAACAAAAAGCCGAGAATTTGTTTGGATTAAACAGGTCCTCGCCAGATTTACACCCAGACCCTCAGCCGTCCCAGGTGTAGACGTTATCTTAAGACTAAGTATGCCGTAGAAGCTAAGAAAATTGAACTCATTATCAATCAAGCTATCACATGATTCAAACTTAGAGAAGAAGCAGAGGTTCGCACCACTTGCTTTACAAAATTACAGGCAAAAGTTCGAAAGATAATCTTGCTCGTAAGAAAAAATATGCAATAAGTGATGAAATCGTCTGCTAGAAGCGAATTTTCAAGCATTTCTTTAGAAATCAGTCAACTGAAACATCAAAATGACTCCGGGTAAAACAACTCTTGGTTATTTATTTCTTGATAACTATAAGATTGTTATATACCTTTACTGGCTATAATCGATTGGTTGATTGAGGAGTGCTTTCTAGAGTGTTGAAGTATGTATGTATGTTGGATGTGTGGTCTAGGCTAGTGAATCTTCAACTCAGGGATGCGCTTTGTGATGTCAGTTTCAACCTTCGCTAGTGTCTGAGCTTAAGATTAGAAGTGAGTGTTACTAGTTGAATTGTCTCCTTTTAGCGAGCTCCTGATTATAATGGCTCTCTCAATTATACTGAACATTCATCAGTTTATTGTTTACATTAAACAAATATCATTTAACACTTTCACATTGACATTTAGAATAGCAATTGAATATTTAATATGCTCCAATTATGGTAACTAGTTAAGAATGACTAACATAGGCGAGTAGCACTATGTTACACTTACACACTTGTTGATTCTTTCCTGACGGTTAATTATTGAGCAAGGCACAGATCGATGGATAAATGAATCAATAACTTAACTGAGCATGTTGATTAATTAACTACATTTGGATGTCTAGTGAGAGTTGCACGAGCACTTAATAAATTTATGCATAAATTTAACTAGACTAAATAGGCGATATTGGAAACTAGATTAGTGGAACTCAAATATACGCAAATGGTTGTCCCTAATACACATAAAATTAAGTGGTATTTAATTCTTTTTAGTAGCAATAGTATACTTTCAAATAACAGTTAATGGAAGCCACGCAGTCAGTCTTATAGGTGATTTATGAATGTGAGTTCAATGAATACCAGTAACTGGTCAAATTTGGCTGAAACTCTCCTCTCTTTCTGTGTTCGGACGTGTATTTTGTTCGAGGTTCCCGTTTACTACCCCCATTGACGAGCAAGCTGATGTCCGTCTGGATAAGGCTTTCGGTGTCTGACAGGCTTCCATTTCTCCTTGGGTCAGGACCATATAGTTTTCACGAATCTTTGATCCGTGTTCCATAAATTCATTTCGATGCGCTGCTGCTACTGACAGAACCGGTTTTAGCTGTATGTTGCCGGCGTTGGACTTCAAGAAATTTGGAGTCAGTTTTCTGAAGATTGCAAACCGATGATACAGGTACATGATGAGTGCATGCAGGACAAGATTCCCCAAAAAGACTATTGCTGTCAGTGTAAGGGAGAGCCGTAATGGTACATACTGTTCCATTTTGTCCACAAGGCTAGGTTT